GTATACATACATCCAGCGCCCCCATCCCACCCCTCTAGGTCACCACAGAGCAGAGCTGAGCTCTCTGCTCTGTGTAGCAGGTTCCCACTTGCTGTGTATTTTACACACGACAGTGCATTTGTGTCAACCCTCATCTCCCACTTCATCCCACCCTCCCCTTCCTGCTCTGCGTCTACACATCTGTTCTCTACATATGTGTGTCTGTTCCTGCCCTGGAAATAGGTTATTTTCTGATTCCACATGTATGCATTAGCCAGGACATGGAAATAACCTAAATGTCCAATGACAGATGAACGGATAATAAAGATGTGGCACGTGTAAATGATGGAATACTGCTCAAGTCATAAAAAGGAATGAAATTGGGTCATTTGTAGAGATGTAGATGGACCTTGAGTCTGTCATACAGAGTAAAGTCAGTCAGAAAGAGAAAACCAAGTATTATAGTTCAGTCTCTTGGAAGACACTTTATTTTTATTTTTGGAAGACACTTTAAATAGCACAGAACTTTAACCCATGTCACTTCAGTAATGCGTATTACTTGGTAGAAATGATGGCAACATGATGACTATGCTCCACATGCTCACGCAGAGCAGGTGACAATAGTGAAGTCATAACTGTCACCCGGCTGACAGAAGATGCCAACTTTAGATAAGGTCCAGTTTTGAAAACTGCATCCCAGAATGGATGCAGTAGTACACAAATCCCTTCCTGTGTGAGGGGCTCAACAGAGCTTCTGGTCCATGATAGACGTTGTGAGTCACTCAGTCATGTCTGACTCCTTGCAATCCCATGGACTATATAGCCCGCCAGGTTCTTCTGTTCCTGGAAATTTCCAGGCAAGAATGCTAGAGTGGGTTGCCATTCCCTTCTCCAGGGGATCTTCCCAATCCAGGATCATACCCAGGTCTCCCACATTGCAGGCACATTCTTTACTGTCTGAACCACCAGGTCCATGATAATAAGCTCTTACTAAATGCTAACAATCAATAATAACAAACTCTCAGCAAACAAAGCTCCCTTCTAGCCAACATGTCTGGCTGCAAAGAGGTTTAGGGATGTTCTGGTCCTCTTAGACATGGGTGAATGGTGACAGAGGTCTCCTGGGGGTGATCAGGAGCTGGGCCTGGAGAAGGCAAGCTTATGTTGCTTGGTCACCAAGGAATGAAGAAGTGTTTAGTTAATGCTCATTCAGTGTTCACATTGACCCTGCAAATGAGAAATTATCCCCATTTTACAGAGGAGAAACGAAGACTTTGTCAGGTTCTCATTATCAACCCCAGGGTCACATAGCTAGTAGCACAGACCTCATTTGCAAACCTGAGCTGTTCTCATAATTCTATCAGGGCTCCATCTGTAAAGCATCTGAGTCTTACTATGCATCTCTCTGCTTCCTACATTATTTCTGCCTCTGGTAATCAAATGTTGTACAATGGAGTCAGCCTTCAGAATTAAAAAAAAAAAAAAAGACCAACAGAGGGTTATAGCTATAAAGGTATACACTGAGTAGTGTTGTTTAATGTTGTAAACAAAATTACCCCACAGAACATCAAAACCACTTAATACACTCAAATGCTTTGAAAGCATGCACTGAGGAGAACTGTTATGCTGATTACCAATAATTATGACCTACTCATTAAGGAACATCCCTGAGGGTTTCTGCAGAGGAACACTTCATGGCTGAGATGGAGTTAATCTGTGTACTTGAAAATAATGAAGCTACGGTTCTTTTAAAAATTATCTAATTTAGGCTTTTCACCGATTTATGTGCTTCTCTGTAAGAACTCTAAATGAAAGAGGTTCTGCTGAATTTACATGGAAGCTTTCTCTCAAAGGTCCACAGCAGCCTCAAGCTGACTGTTGACATGCCAGCTCCCTGCTGCGTAGGAAAGAGAGGAAAGAGGTTCAGAGCAGAATTTAAATCTGAAGTATCTGCATTTCTTAAACATTTTGGTTTCAAAGAGCTTATTTCTCCAAAGATTCTCGAGGTTTACTGGATGAACATTTTCGGAGAGAAGACACTAGAGTTTACTTAACACAGCTTTAAATCCTTTAGAAACAAAGTTAATGTAAACAAATACATAGGATTTGAGAACTAATTATGGGCCAAGTATTCGATGTGCTGAGTGCTTTATCTCCCATTTTAGTTAAATCCTTTTAGGTACAAGAAACAGCCAGCCCAGCTCAGGTACGGCTGCAGAGACCTACAGGAGAGCCAGAAATCTGACGTAAATTCAAGAATAGGGATCTGAGAATGGGAATCATCATGGGGCCTCATGGACACTGGAACTGGATCTAAGAAGGTCCCCAGACAGCAGGAACTTTATGACTCTTTCCATGGGTAAAGTGCCTTTCTCTTCCCATCTATTAGTTTGCTTTCACCTGCAAGAAACAGCAAATCCAATTCAAGTGGCTTAAACAGTAAGGAAATTACTGTCTCACAGAAATGGAAATCCAGATGTAGGGTGGGTTTCAGGGTTGGCTGATATAATCAGCCAGCTCTGTCATCTATGATTTAGGTTCTCTCTTCATTTTGCCACCCAGAAGGCCAGCTTCATCCGAAGGCTGATTCTCAGTGAACTATGATCATAGGGTGTTGGATGGCGGGAGTGTGGGCTACATGTTTCCTCATGAACATATTCTTTTTTACATTATCTATTTATTCTTGGCTGCACGGGGTCTTCACTGCTGTGCACAGGCCTTCTCTAGTTGCGGGGAGCGGGGGCTGCCCTTTGTCGCAGTGCTCAGGTTCCCCATTGCGGAGGCTTCTCTTGCCATGGAGCATGGGCTCTATGGCACACAGGCTGCAGCCGTTGTGGTTCTCGGGCTTGAGAGTTCAGTAGCTGCAGTGCACAGGCTCAGTTGCTCTGCGGTATGTGCAGTCTTCTCCAGCCAGGGATCAAATCCATGTTTCCACCATTGGCAGTCAGATTCTTAACAACTGGACCACCAGGGAATTCCCCCTCACTAGCATATTTTAAACAAAAATGTTCAAAGGCACTAGACACCTTTATCTCAGGGTATCATTGACCTGAACGACATCACATGACATTCCTACACTAACCCCTATGCCAACTGGTCTTAGCTTAGTTCTAGTAACTAGCAATTCGTATGAGACCACCATGATTGGCTGAGACTGCTCAGGGCACATTCCTAGATTGAAGTCAGATGTGTGGGGGATGGGGGGAAAAAAGAAATTGAGAGTAACTCCTTAGGTTTTGCAAGTAAATGGCTAGATACTGAAGTCATTTGGGAACCTTGTAGGAAATACAGGTTGGGGGTGGGCATGGGAATGGAGAATATTATTTAGGATACACGGATTCTGAAATGCCTGTTAGATCTGCACATGAAGAGGCCACGTAAGCCAAGAGATATATGAATTTGGCACTCAAGGAAGGAGTCAGGGCTGGAGTTACAATCTCGAGAATCATCAGCTTATCCCTAGAATTTAAAACCATAAAGTGGATGAATATAAAGAATATATAGAGAAAAAGAGGTGAAGACTCAAGGCTTCCTGTCCGGCCCACATGACACACTCCCACTTACCTAGTTCTGGTGTCCCTTCCCCAGTACAGTCATCCTTCTCTGCTTCTCCTCCAATCTCCTCTATGGGTCCCAGATACACACCTTGGGGGCTTTTTAGCATTTTGCCTATTCCTCTCCTCATCCTCAACATCTCGGCACAGCATCTACCTAACACATAGTAGGTGCTCAAATCTTATGTTGAACGCTTAACGAAAATGAATTTAGCTGTTCAAGACTGAAGATGATGAAATTAGTGGAAATGGTTTTGGTGGGGCTCAGCATCTCATATCACATTTCTTACGCTCCCAAGGGAAGCTCATCCCTAGGCGGGAGAGGGATGGAGGATCCAGCTGTCTGCATCTACGGCTCCTCTCCCTGCCTTCTCTGAAACCCAACACTCCAGAGCGAGCTTCAAAGTCAGAGGCTGCACAACAAACTCACTTCATAAATGGTGGACACATTTATGAGGATGAAACATAACACGTCCTGACAAGCCCTGGGGGGCAGACCAGCTGAGAATGTAACAGAGGGATGCTGCCTGGTGCCTGCCAGGTGTTTGGAGGAGTGTGGTGATGGCTCAGCCATCCAGGAACAGCCCGGCCGATCTCCTGAGGGACGCCTGGGGCCTGTCAGCTCCCACCCCCCCAAATGCCAGTACGTGCTGCACAGAGCTTGTCTCTGCTGTGGCTGAAGAGGACGGCCTGCTCTCCACCTGCATAACGCAGATGGCACAGATGGGAGCATGCTTCCACACGGGGACGGGCAATTAGGCTCCATTCCTCCAGCTGCAACAATTACCGGGCGAACACCCTGGGGAAGGACATAAGCCTGAAGAGAGCCGGCTTCCACGCTGGCCCACCCCTAAACCTAGTCCTACCAGCAGGGACTGCTGGATCCGCGGCCTCTAGTCCCTTTCACAGGCCTTGCTGGAACCCATGTATTTGAAAATCATTTGGTGAGATTGGAACAGAAGGCAGCCCTCAAACGGGATATATTTAAGTAAGAAAATACCAAGGCTTTATTTTTTTTTTCCTTATAAAGACAGCCCTGCTGTTGGCTAACTGAAAGGATGTACAGAGTTCTCATGAGTAAACAAGAGTTTCCTGCTGCAGGCTGTATACTGTAATGCCAGAGAAGTGACATGAAGGGGGCAGAGGTTTAATGCTCTCATCTTCATAGCAAAAAAAATGCAAAATAAGACAAAAAATTAAATGGACTTAATTAATGCTGGGCATTCCCACAGGGAAAAGGCAAGAGGACTTTTAAGTCGATTGATCAGTAGTTGTGTTGTGTACAGGGCTGAGCCACCCTCACGCCTCTTTCCTCCTGTCTCCGGCTCTCCACATCGGAGGTACACAGCCTGGGACCCCGAGGCTGGGCGTCAGGAGCTTCTGCTTCATGGTCCTCTGAGACGTGGCGGGGTGGAGGGGTGAGGGGCCAGAGGCTAGGAGACCAGAGGAGCCAGCTCCGTGACGCACCTACGTGCAGCAGTGCCTCATGTGGAAGTTGACGACATACTCGGCATTAGTCCTCTGCACAGAGATGGCAAAAGGCTCAAAAGGGTGGAAGGTGAAGGCAACGAGGCGTCGCACCGTGTGGTTGATGGGGCGGCCCAGTAAGCCCGCCTGAATCTCAAACTTCAGCAGACCAGAGTCCCGGGCGTAGAACCTAAACAGGACAAGGAGAGGAGAGCGTGAGACAGACATTCACCACCACCTTGAAACCTGAATAGCAGGGGACTCATGAATTAACCTCACTGATGAAATCTCCTCTAACGTCAGCCCCCAGTCAAAATTGCCTATGTCTGATCAGTTCATTTTACGAGCAGGGAGATTATGAACTTCACTATGCTGGCCTGAATCACTGGGTCACTTGTCTTTCCCAAGATGACCCTTAGTTACGGCCTTGATTACAGCCTCCGCTTTTCCAGCAGCTATCTGCCTGGCTACCTACCTGCCTAGGCCAGGGCTGGAAATGATAATGCAAGCCAAGTAGGCATGCTTAAATGTTCAGGCAGCCACGTCAAACAAGGTAAGAAGGAAAAAGTGAAATTAATTTTAATAATATTTTAGTTAACCTAACATCAGCATCTAAAATATTATCATTTCAACCAATGATATAAAAGATACTAAAGAGACAATTCATTTTTTTTTGTACTAAGTCTTTGAAATCTGACGTGTATTTGACACGTGAGCACATCTCACGTTAGTGCTCACCAGCCATGGGAAGGTGGTGGTTACTAGAGGACAGTGCAGATCTAGGCCCATATCTTGAGTTTTTCTTTCCTCTTTTTAACATTTATTTTATTTATTTATTTTTGGCTGTGCTGGGTCTTTGTTGCTGTGCAAAGGCTTTCTCTAGTTGTGGCGAGCAGGGGCCACTCTCTGGTTGCAGTCTGAGGGATTCTCACTGCAGTGGATTCTCCCGTTGAGGAGCACGGGCCCCAGGACTCGGGCTTCGGTAGCTGTGGTGAGTGGGCTCAGGAGCTGCGCTGCAATCTTAACCACTGGACCACCAGGGAAGTCCTGAGTGTTTCACTGTCAAGAAGAAATCCTTTTGGAAGGCTCTTCTTTTGCACACGCGAAAACAAAATACTAACTAGTTTCTACTTTTTCATCTAATACAGTAAGAACAAAGATGCTTCCATCCATCCCAGGACTTAAATGCCTTTTGCCCATATGCAAAGCAAGTGCCCTGTGAACTTGGGAATCAGAGATGATTGGCAGGGTTGGGGCTGAATTGGAGGAAGCTCTAGAAAACAAGGAGTTCTGAAATAAAGAGCTCTACAATGCATGTCCCCCTTGGAATGCAAATATGTAGGAGATACAAAGATATTCATATCCCTTGACTCAATAATCCAACAGCTTATATCCTCAGAATTTATTTTAAGTGAAGTAAATAGTGGTGTGAATAAAGATGGCTACTACAGCATTTTGGGCTTCTCCAGTGACTCAGCGGTAAAGAATCTGCCTACCAATGCAGAAGACATAAGAGACGTGGTTGGATCCCTGGGTTGGGAAGATCCCCTGGAGAAGGGCATGGCAACCTATTCCAGTATTCTTGCCTGGAGAATCCCACGGACAGAGGAGCGTGATGGGCTACAGTCCACACAGTTGCAAAGAGCTGGACATGACTGAAGCAACTTAGCACACACATAGCATTAGGTCTAATGTAAATATGTAGGTAGAGAATAAATGCTCAGTAATAGGGGAACAGCTAAATAAATTATGCTACATCTATTTTATGGAATAATATGCCGTCATCAGGACTGTAACTTTAAGGACTATGTAACAATATGGAAAATGTTTATTAAGTAAAAGCAGGCTACAAGGTACCATGCCAACTGCAACTACGACTGCATAAATGTAAACACACACACTGGCAAAGACTAGAATGGAATAAATTTAATACAATAAAGGTGTTAGGGTAATGGCATTACCTCTTCAAATGACTTTAATATCCTTTCATTTCTCATTTTAAATTAAAAAAATAAGAATTACAAGAAGTTCAGGGTCAGTGGCATTTCCAGATTTGTTACTTAGGTTAATCTTTTCAAATCAGAAAGGCAGGGCAGTCAAAAGGGAGAGAAATGTTATCTTGGGCTACGTGACAATGTCAAATGAGTCCAATTATCTGCTTTTATGTGGAAAGGAAAGGAAAACTTTTGCCCTCACCCACACAGTCCCCAGCACACAAAGGGCTTATAATGTAAAGCTAGTTGTTGGAGCTCCTAAATCTAAGTGCCAGTTTACAGGAAATAGGGGGAAATAAGAACTGCCAGGGATGCAATGAGCAAAAATCCAGAATGTGGGGAATACTACCAGACGAACAACCTGGTTTCTTCAACAACTTCACTACAAAGAAAGCAACAGGGAAGCAGAACCCATAAAATAAAAAAGACTTAGGAGCACAGCAACCAAAAAAAACATATGGACCTTCTTTAGGTCCTGACTGGAACAAACTGTAAAAAGAATATATACAAGACAATAGGAAAACGTGAAAACTCACTTGATATTGGTGATCTTAATACAGGTTTAATTTTCTTAAGATGGAATAATGGTATTGAGGTTATATTTTTTTAAGTCCTTATCTTTTAGAAGTTCATCCTGAAATATTTACGAGTGAAATGCTATAATACCTGGGCTGTGAGAATCCAGAGTGGCAGGTGGGAGGGGAGCAGTGGTGGGAGAGAGATGAAACAACACTGAGCATGAGTGACGGCTGCTGAGGTGGGGTGACGCGTCAGAGGGGTTCATCACAGGCTTCCACTTTCATATGTTTAAAAACTTCCATAATAGAAAAATTAACTGGTTTTCGGAACTTGATTACAATTTCCCAAAGGAAATATTACAAACAGTAATTCATCGCACAGAATATGTTACACAAGCCTGTTGAATACACAGTGAAGCTGGCTTATGAAATACTACCTACCACTGTTTTCTATGTGAAGAAGACCTTCCAGAGCCCAGCTCACACCTCCCTTGAAATAAGCCCACAGTGGAAGTGGTGCCGGCTCCTCTCTCTAGCACCTGTCAAAGCACACAGAACAACCCAAGCTCCCAGCACGGAGGGACAGGGGGGTCTGTGAGCTGGACACCCGTGACGAAGGAACTGCAAGGTTCTAAGGGTAACACGGCAACCTGCATTCCAAAATTCTTCCAACTGAGGAAGCATGAGTTTCTCCAAAACCTGCTTGTTCCCCACTGTCTCTCTTTTCCATTAGGTAACAGGAGGGGATAAAATAACTTGAGCAGGGTAAAATGTAAGTCTCAATTATTTTTAAGTTTCTTGTGAAATGGTATTAGGTCATTAAATTGAAAAATATGGTTTCCTTCCCTGGCTACCTCGAAAAGAGAACAATACTTACCTGAATAGGATGTTTTGAGGAGAGGCAAAGAGCAGAACTAATTCATTTTCGAGACTAACGCCTAAATGATCAAAGTGAAAGTGAAAGTCACTCAGTGTCCGATTCTTTGTGACCCCAGAGACTATACAGTCCATGGAATTCTCCAGGTCAGAATACTGGAGTGGGTAGCCTTTCCCTTCTCCAGGGGATCTTCCCAGCCCAGAGATTGAACCCAGGTCTCCCGCATTGCAGGCAGATTCTTTACCAGCTGAGCCACAAAGGAAGCCAAAGCACCCACATTATGGCAACAGCCTGCCCTGTGACTTGAACCCGTGAGTACAAGTGGACAGTCATAGTGAAGTGATGCGCAAGAGAAGAGAAGGCAGACAGCCCCGTCCACAGGCAGCGCGCAGCTGAAGCAGTGATGGTGTGTGTACCTGATAGGGTGATCTCCGCAAGTCTTGGGCCGCTCCATGACTGACACCCACTTGTCGTCGTAGCTAAAGAGAGACAGGTCAAGGTAAGGGCTGCCACTGTAGGACTGGGCGCTGATGGGGAGTTGGCCCAGCAGCCGGCGAACGGCCTCCGTGTGTCCTCCGTACTTGGCGTTGACGATAGTGTCTTTAAACCTGAAATAAAGCACCAGGGAGGAAGGCTGTGTTAGCAGCGCACAAGTTGCCTTGGTTTTAAATCGACAAACATGTCTACAAACAACACATCCTGAAAACAGAATCTAGATACTCAACTCTCACACCTCCCAAAGTGAGGAAGAAGTGAAAGTCGCTCAGTCCTGTCCCACACTTTGTGACCCCATGGCCTGTAGCCCACCAGGCTCCTCTGTCCATAGGATTTCCCAGGCAAGAATACTGGAGTGGGTTGCCATTTCCTTCTCCAGGGGATCTTCCCAACCCAGCAATCGAACCCAGGTCTCCGGCATTGCAGGCAGATTCTTTACCATCTAAGCCATCAGGTAAGCCCCTCTATATACCTACAAATACTCTCAAAAAAGCAGAAAACAGAATGAAAAATTGGAAACACAAAGTTACTTGAGAAAAGTTAGCAAAGATCCTATAAAAGTTAAAAATAAGGATAACTAACCTCTGACAACTATTTCTGTTGAAACTTATATATTTCTCCCAAATTAGAGGCTTCGACTGCATTAACAAGGAGATGCAAAGAATCCTGGACAGAAGTGTCTGACTCCTTAGGAGTCAGAAGTCTGACTTCCTGGGATCAGTGATAAGCCAACTTGCATCAAATTGTTTGAAAAATTACTGATTCTTTGTTTAAATAAAGTTGGGGAGGGACTTCCGGCAGTGTGGGGGTTAAGACTCTGGGCTTCCACTGGCAGGTGCACGGGTTCAATCCCTGGCTGGGGAACCAAGATCCATGTGCCATGCGGTGTGGCCAAAAAATAAAGTTGGGAACTAGCTACCTGTACTTTTGCAGAAACACCAGAATCCAGAAGTACATAATACAAACACGGAGTCATCTATCTCACTTATCTTTAATTATAGTAATAATAACAATGGAGCAGTTATTTCTCACAATTATAATGAATACTAAACTTAATACTCTTGACCAAGTATTTCAATTCTTCTGGAAATTTGCCCTAGGGAAGAAAAATCCCTGTGCACATTTAATATACCAGTGGTTATGACAATGAAAAAAAAACTGTCAGGAATATTAAAAACCTAATGGAAAACTATTATTTTCAAAGATAACATGGTAACAGAAGAAATGTTTATCATAATGGTAAGTAAAAGAAGTAGGGTACATGGAGCTCTCTGGTGGAAAGGGGGTTAGGATTCCCTTCCACTGCCTGTGGCCCAGGTTCAATCCCTGTTTGAGGAACTGAGATCTCGCAAGTCACACAGCACGGCCAAAAAAAAAAAAAACAACCAGTAAGCTATGTTCTGTATATACAGTATGACTGAAAACACACACAAAAATTAACATCTTTAAAAAAAAAAAAAACCTGGTGGAAATACATCAAAATGGTCATAGCTGTTTTTATCAGTTTTATTTTTTAAAATCTCTACACTGAAGTATATCACACAGTTTAATAATCAAGGGGAAAATAAATAATTTTTTAGTCCAGGGGAAATGAGATATAACATCTCACCCTTGAAACTAACGGTATAAAAAAATGCGAATATTCCTAATTTTGATGAGACTAGAGAGATTGATGAGATGGGTTTTCATTTTTGTTTTCACTGTCAACCTGCAGAGCTAGATGGACATTAACACTTCTCAGTTCTCCTAGAAGGAAGTCGAGCGTCAACACTGCTTTTCCATTACTTCTCCTAACAGTAATTTTTCACAGCCTCGGTGTAAATCATAAAATTAAACCCTGGGCCACACAAAACTTACTTCTTTCCTTTTCATTTGAGTTGGTATCAAAGATCCTGGGCTCTTTGGTTTTCAGCCCTCCGTCACCCAAGATCTAGTTCTCCACCCTTCCTGGCTCACTGGCTTCAAAAGGGGACTTCAAATGACGGGGTTGGCCCGTGGCTATGATGACCACAATTCAAAGCCCCCGTGACCATCCACAGGCTGCAGCAGTCCCCACTGCCCACAGCGGCCACCACCTCTACTCTGAGGAGCCCCAACAACTAAAAGAAGAAGCTGCACCCCTCGGATGTCTTCAGCTGATTAACTCCTGGCACATTGTCACTCTGCCCAACCACCCTTCTCTCAATTCATGATTTCTAAATTCTCAGAGGTGATCCTCCCTACACCATGGCTTCCTAGTTCCTGGACCTCCTTTCTGCCTCAGCAACGCATTCCCACATCATACCCTCAATCTATTACCAATGACTGCACCTCCATAATCTCAGGGAGACTGAGATTATTGGAGCATGCAGACTCCAATTATTGTCTCTCCTAATTTTCCAGATAACTCACTCTGCTCATCCCAGCTTCAACATCCTTCAACTGAAATGGGACTGAAATGCCATTGATTCTACTAACTTCTCGCCATCTCATGCCTTCATCATGACCTCTTTTCCTTCCTGAGCCAGCTCAAATTTCACAATCATTAAAATCACAGATTTTACACCCATGAGCGCATGGATATAAATGTTGCCGTAATGCTGCAAGGCACTCATGCTGCACTCCCACCCTCTCCCTTAGATGACTACTTCATCCTCCCCGCCCTCCATGTTCGCCCTCCTGGATGGCACTGCCTTCTTCGTAACTGACAGAAGGCATGGAAAAAAAACTTTTTAAAGCTCCCATCAGGAAACAGAATGCAGTACTCTTATTACTGGATCACTGCAATGGTCTACTAACTTCCAGCCTATCCCTTGATCTATTCTTAAAACAGCAAGCAGCCAGAGCAACATAAGTGAGAAGGACTGCCCTGCTGGTCCAGTGGTTAAGACTCCAAGCTCTCACTGCAGGGGGCACAGGTTCAGTCCCTGGTTAGGGAACTAAGATCCCACATGCCACAGGGTGCGCCAAAAAAAACGCCCGTGAGACCACGTCACTCCTCTGCTCAGATACTTCAAACACTACACAATCTCATCTACAGTTAAAGCCAAAGCCTCAGAATGGCCATACGTGTCTGGTCCCGTCTCTCACCACACATCTCTACCTACACTGCCTCCTGCTTCCTCCAGCCCAGCCACCCTGAGTTCCCCGGTGTTCCTCAAACGTCTGAGACCCACCCCTGGACCTTTACATTTACTATTCCCTTTGCTTGCTCTGTTCTTCCCCTGATGGCCACATGGCTTGCTCCCTAACCTCCTTCAAAAGCTTTACTCAAATATCGCCTTCTCAGTGAGGAATATGCTGAGAACCCCACTAGGAGAGAACGGGCAATCTTGTCTTAGTACATTCTAACCCAACAGATATTCTACTAATTGTAACCTTTCTTTGGGTACATCCGTGATGGACACCTCCCCCTTCCTGTTTCCACCTGGTCCAACCCGTGGCCTGTCATCCTGGAACCTCCCTGTAACATCATCCTTGGAATCCTCTGTGCTTCTCTCCACTGTTTGACTCTGCTTCCTCTATCATTCTTTCGTGGTTTACTGGGGGATAATATCTTTCAGAGGCTTCCTCAGAAAAAGAACATGGGAGGTAATTTTTTGAGAACTTACGTGTCTGAAAATGTCTTTGTTAAACCCTATTATTTTGATGTAGAATTCTAGTTTTGAAATCTTTTTTTGTTGTTGTTTTTTGCAGAATTATGAAGGCATGATTGTAATCGCTTCAAGTTTTCAGTATTATTATTACATTGATACCATTAATGGCTTAATTTTTTGTATGTGAAATGTATGTGTTCTGAAAGTTTTTACAATTTTCTCTTTATCTCCAATGTTCTAAAATTTCATGATGATATGTCTCAGTCTGGTCTTTTCTTTATTGACTGTACTGGGTACTTGATGGAGTTGTGATGTGATGATAGGTTTAATAATAATTTCCCTGAAGTGAAAAAAGCCATGGTTTGCAGCGCTTGCCAATTTCTGTGGTGTAAATTCTTCTGCTGTGGTCAATTTCAAGGCACCAAAGTGGCATCATGGAATGCAGAGCGGCCATGAGATGAGCAGTAGCACATCACTATATGGTATTTTCACAGAACAGATGAAATAGATACAAATAACTTCAAGAGTACAATAATAAAATAACTGTGAATTAATAATTAGGAAATAATTAATTTTTAACAATGGCTGTGTTTAACAACTTGTGTTCAGAAGTTCCTGAAAGTTTAACGGTTTGCTCTCACAAGCCAGAATGAGCCAGCTCCAGCACACCATGGGATGGTGCTTGCCAATCTGGAAGTGTGTGTGTGTGTGTGTGTGTGTGTGTGTGTGTCTGTGTGTGTGTGTGTGTATTCCTATGAAAATGTGTATCTTTTAATATTAGGAAATGGTTAACATCGTTTCCTCCTTTTCATTTTTTCTCTTGCTCCTTCTGGAAGTAACCACACATTGGATCTCCTGGGGAAATGCTCTAAATTTTTTTAAAAATCGTTTCTCTCCCATTTTCTTACTATTATCTTTTTTTCCCTACTTTCTTGGAGAATTTCTAAACTATATCTAACAGAGTTTAGATTTCTGAACTATCTCACTTAGCATCACTATTCTAGAAATGTTTCTGTTTTTATACTTTAAATTATTTCAGTTAATACCATGTTCATTTTTTATACTGTTTTATTTTGGTCTCTATCTTTCAAGATAAAGGCTTTCTTTAAGTGATTCATGATCTCTATGTCCATTTTTTCTTAATCATTTATTCTAACCTATTATAGTAACAATAATAATCCATTTCCCTCATTTTTACCAGAAGTTCTTTGAGGACTGTAAAATTGACCTGTTAGAACCATGTGTTCACAAGAAACAAAAATAATTTTGATTTATATGTACATTATATTTTCAATGCAGCAAAGTATGATGATTGATAAAATGTTATTAGGACACAATTTTGTGGGGAAGATTGATAAATGTGAAAAGAAGAAGAAATATAAAAGTTCAAACAGTACAGGAAAAACTTACCCTGTACTTTTTATGTCAAATATGAATACTAAATTACTATGGTATTAGAGTCCCTTGGCTATATTTAAAAGTCTTAATACCTTAAACTATACAATGTTATATGCCAATTATATCTTGTAAAAATTTTATTTTTAAATGTCAATGTTTAATATGCTGAAAACTGCAGCCTCTGCCACTATTTAAATTTAACAGTAAGAAATCTAAAGAGCAACTTAAACACTAATGTGTGAGATCTCCAGTTTTCAAAACCATTTGCCGGTAAGAAGCAAAATTTTCAAGATCATGAAGCTAGAATGTTTATTTTCTCTGCGGCTTCCTACAATTTCACTTAATGATGGATACACTGTGAAATAAATTTTCAGAAAACATAGCCTCCTCTAATTCCTGATGATGTTATTCATTCAACAAATGCCTAACGAGCTCCTCCCACACGGAAGACACTGTCTGAGGTGCTGTAGATATGGTGGTGTACATGTAACAGATAAAAACCCCAGCCCTCATGGAGCTTGGACCTTCTGGTGATCTCTTTGATATTTTAACTGTACCCAACTTTTGTTACTAGTTGATAATAATCTACTTAATTTTAAAGTTAATTTTAAAAGACAAAAATTCATTTCAAAATGAAAAAAGTAAAACCTGATCCATATTTTGCTTCCAATGATCCTTCTATACCGAAGAGAGATGCCAGTCAGGCTGAAAATGTGTGTGAACCAGAAAAAATAAAAGGGTATGTTTAGTTGTCTGAAAATCAATATCCATTTATTTTTAATCACGTACTATCCTTCTATAGGAATACGATGCCAGTGAATTAGATATCTGCTTTGCCCATTTCCCCCTGCAGCAGTAATGCTTATTCTGATTCATCCACTCACTCTGATCTGATCTGTACTGGAACCTAAAGCAGCTATTTTCTATAATTGGCTAAGGTATGTGGAATGTGATGAAACACTGACTGACTTAAGTAGGGTTGCAGGCAGGCCCTTGGTCCAAAAGAACTAGTCATTTCACAATAATATACTCAGATAATTATGAGAAGCTCTAGTTCTTAGCAGGTGGGTATCAACTGAGGGTGACTTAGGTGTTCTGAGAAGGGCCTCCAAGGGTCTCTTCTTCAGGCTAGTCAGTTTCCCTAGGGAATTAACTCTAATCTCCTGCCTGAAGAGTATATGCCTGGATGCCATATCCGATAAGAGGAATAGGATTCTACCCCATCAGTATATCAATTTTCACTTAATTCTTGGTTTAAGCATGATGTGTCTCATCTCTATTCTCAGCCATGTTTCACGAACTTGAAACCAGAGCCTGCATGGTTCAATTTCTCCAGAGAATAAACCTCTAGCCTTTTGTGGAGTTGGGGAAGAGACAGTCATTTGGCAGTTGGAGGCTTAGGGAAAGGAACTAGAGTATCTGACTGTTCCCTTCAAGAATGTCATCTAGGAGACTCCCTGGCAGCCCAGTGGTTAAAACTCTACACTTCCACCGCAGGGGACACAGGTTTGATCCCTGGTCAGGGAACTAAGATGCCACAAACTTCAAAGCACAGCAAAAATAAAAAAGAATGTCATCCAGTCCTTCAGAGGTGTATAGGGCCTCCAGTTTCCTGACTTTTTCCAGAGTTCTCTGGTACAGGACAACTTACTTCTTGATGGGTAAGCTCGGTAGTCTTTTTGTTCTCTGAGGCATGTCAGGTTACTTATCACTCATCCATTGGCTCTTCAGCTTCTAAAACTCTGTTGACATCTCCTCCCCATTCTCTTTGCTCTTGTAGGTTTATATCTCTTCATCCTTTACTGTCACTTTAACTAGGGGTTTGGGATACAGCAGAGATAAATGCATGTGTTCAATGCACATATTTAACCCAAAGTTATAAAATTATGTCCTTATTCATTCAAAGTTGGTGATGGACAGGGCCACTGCAGTCCATGGGGTCGCAAAGAGTCAGACACAACTGAGCAACTGAACTGAACTGCACTGATTCATTCAAGAAACACTTTAAGGGCTTGACAGTGCACCACTGCAGATACAGCAATAAACTAAACAAAGACACAGTCTCTATCTCTCTGCAGGTAACAGACAGTCTAGGAGGAATCACAGACAACACACAAGTAATCCCTCGGGTGTTAAGAGAGAGACATTTAGGATGACACAGGAGGTTACAACAGGCAGATCGACCCAAGGCCGGGTGAGCATAAAGAACATGGGAAGCTTTCCCAAAGTAAACGACTAATGGCTCCACATCGACACATTTTCTACAGAAAAATTAAGCTTGTTAAGTCTAGTGGAGCAGCTTACCGGCGCTGGATCTGCCGTGCAAAATTGTTACTGGAAGCTGAGCAGGGAAACTGGACTTCACTATGCAGGGTAGCGTTCCGGAAGAGATCACAGAAGTTCTCGAAGAGCTCCAAAAGCTCATCTGACGTGTTCTCAAACACAGCGATCACCTCTGTTGTCACCATGTTGTACACCACAAAGAAAGATGCCTGCGGAAGAAGAGACCCAAGGGACAGCTGAGTATAAGACCTCACCTAGCACATTCATCATTTGGCTGAAAACTCAAGCTCCCCAAGTAAAACAAGCAAACACCTCCACTCCAGCACTACAGCACAACGTGATGCCAAGAGGCTCTGGAAGAGGAGGAAGCCTCAGTGGGCTTGAGCCATCGAAGGCCTCAGAGCTGCCTGATTTCCCGCTGTACCTGTGCTGCTGGAATTAGTGAGTTTGCTCAGCATATATGTATAAAAGGGCTTTCAATCTTTCATTTCAAACTGTGTGCAGATTTAATATGTTTCCTTCCATGTGCTTATTCCCTACTTACGCCCCAACCCACTCTGAGATTAAAAACACTTTTCTAAAATGCCAGATTTAATTTTCCTCCCTGCTGAGAAAGTGATTTGCAGTCAGGAGCTGCCTGTTGGCAAATTATTTTCTCTTGTATGTGTATAGCAGAAAGTTCAATTTGGGGGCATTTCCTTTTCTCTCTTAATATTTCCAACATGCAGAGAGACATCTTAAGCACACCATGTCCACCAAGGCAAGCTGTAACCAAGCGGGGAAGTGCTGCTGAACAAATGAAAATCAGAGAAGTGTTTTCCATTTCTTTCTTCATAAATGTTCTTTTAGCCAAGAGCATTTGTAACATATGTTGGACATTTGTAGCAATTCAGGTCGGAGGGGGAAACATGAAAAGCATTCAAATGCTACCAGTGGCAGAGTTACTGCTTTCTCTGAATGGGTCCCTAGGTGCCTGGTCATCTTCTCTGAACCTCCAGTGCTCTGCTCAGCTTAACAAGGAAGTGCCAGGTACTCCGAGTTTTTGTCACAGTGAATGTGGCAGTGTGGGTCTTCCACCAGGACTCTAGAAGTTTCCAGAACACTAGGATTAGTATTCAGCCTCCTAGGATTAAACCTGAATCTTCATTACCAATTTTTGGAGACATCTGGCCCACCTGTTTTACCAGTAATTAGTCCTTCCCAGAGCTTATATTACATGACTTTTGCGGTCACCTGGAAATTAAATTTGGCTGTAAATTAAAGAGGCTGGAGGGTAATCTGAGAATAATACCCATAACATTAGCAAAGCTTTGTGTTGAGGTACACTTTTTACTCATTAACCTTATTGGAACCTATCAAATTAAACTGGGGAAGGAGGCTGGAGGACAACGAGGGGAGAGTTTGGGTTTAAAGTTACAAATTCTGTAAGCAGAGCACAGAGCCCTAGTAATGTTTCTGGCTATGACTTACTGTAGCTGCCGGACATAAAGAGGTCATGTTTTAGTGAAGGAGAAAAGGATAATCTCGAATGCGGCAGTCCCAGACAACATACTCCTTCCAAAATAAAAAGGTAATTATAGCTCAAACCTAAATACAAGATGGACTCATGTCCTTTCTATAAACCTGGACGACACTTTGATCACTTCAGGGCTTCACCAGGATCCATCGTGACTGTGTAAATACAGAATTACACTAAGATTTACTAACATTCCCACCAGGGCAGACTGGGAGATACAGGACAGGAGGGTACAGAAGTCAAGGGCTCTACCGACATCCTCTCACGATGCCTGAAATGAACTGGACGCTTTCCCACATGGCTCAATGGTGATTTCATCATTACTAGGGAAGAAAAAGAATTCAGAAAAAAAAAATCTCTAACTAAATTTATTATTCAGATCTCAACAGGCTTCCCTTTTGGCACTGGAAAGAATCTGTTTTCCAATGCAGGATATGCAGATTGCATCACTGGGCCAGAAAGATCCCCTGGAGAAGGAAATAGCAACCCACTCCGGTGTTCTTGCCTGGGAAATCCCATGGACAGAGGAGCCTGGCGGGCTACAGTCCATAGGGTTGCAAAGAGTGGGACAAGACTTGATGACTAAACAACAACTATTTTAGTCACCTTCCCTCCCTTTTGTTTTTTAGAATATACAAGGTATGATTCAGAAGAAAAATATTAGAAACCATTTTTCCACGGGGGGTTGCCAAGGTCTCAGGAGACTATTTCCTGTACAGTCTCTCTTAAGAGCAGAATCAGCTACAAGTCAATGAGAGAAACCAAACTCAGCTGACTGCAGTTTACTAGTCTGTTCTGTTTTACATTTCCAAACTTGGATATAAGGAGACAATGTGGAAATAGGAGAATGATGGGGGGGATGGGGTGTTGGTTCCAAACTGGGAAAGGAATACTCCAAGGCTGTATATTGTCACCTTGCCTATTTAACTTATATGCAGAATACATCATGTGAAATGCCAGATTGGATGAAGCACAAGCTGGAATCAAGATTGCTGGGAGAAATATCAATAACCTCAGATATGCAGATGATACCACCCTTAAGGCAGAAAGCAAAGAGGAACTAAAGAGCTTCTTGATGAAAGTGAAAGAGGGGAGTGAAAAAGCCGGCTTAAAACTCAACCTTCAGAAAATGAAGATCATGGCATCCAGTCCCATCACTTCATGGCAAACAGATGGGGAAACAATGGGAACAGTGACAAATTTTATTTTATTGGGCTCCAAAATCACTGCAGATGGTGACTACAGCCATGAAATTAAAAGATGCTTGCTCCTTGGAAGAAAAGCTATGACAAACTTAGACAGCATATTAAAAAACAGAGACATGACTTCACCGACAAAGGTCCGTCTAGTCAAGGCCTGGTTTTTCCAGTGGTCATGTGTGGTTGTGAGACCTGGACCATAAAGAAAACTGATCACCCCAAAACCGATGCTTTTGAACTGTGGTGTTAAGCCGTGATTGTATAGTGGTTAGTACTCTGCAATGTGAACTATGGTGTCGGAGAAGACTTTGAGAGTCCCTTGGACTTCAAGGAGATCCAACCAGTCCATCCTAAAGGAGATCAGTCCTGGGTGTTCACTAGAAGGACTGATGCTGAAGCTGAAACTCCAGTATGTTGCCCACCTGATGTGAAGAACTGACTCATTGGAAAAGACCCTGATGCTGGGGAAGATTGAAGGTAGGAAGAGAAAGTGGCAACAGAAGATGAGATGGTTGGATGGCATCACTGACTTGATGGACATGATTTTGAGCAAGCTCCAGAAGTTGGTGATGGACAGGGAAGCCTGGTGTGCTGCAGTCCATCAGATTGCAAAGAGTCAGACATGACTGAGTAACTGCACTGAACTATAAAGAAGTTAGGTCTCTCACTTGGTCAACAGTAAAGTAGACAGCTCCTCAAAGGGAAATGTCCACATTGCTCTGAGGTTCAGCATGGTGTTTCAACCCAAACATCTTCACGGTTTCTGTACTCTTAACATCTTATTCCTATTTATGAAATGCATCTTCCCTATCAACATCTTTCACAGAAACTAAAAAACCCTCAGAACCTGCAGTCCTGGTAGATCAAAAACTTTGGCTTCCTTCCCATCTTATCACTGCTCCACAATCTATGTTCCAGCATGTGGGCAAGGTCAGAGTAAAGTCATAGAGCTTAACTCTGTCAAATGCACTGTCCCATTAGTTACAATCTAAAGATATTGTGAGGAAGAAAAAAATAAAGATATTGTGAGGAAGTATATTGATATCATTTAAATAAGAAAAAAGACTAGACTTTTTAGAAGATTTTCTTTTTTTGTATGGTGGGTTCATTCTCATTGCCAGAACTAAAATAGACCAATAAGTACAATCTTACACAAAACCAAGGCACTATCCATAGGGAGTCAAATCTTAACCTTAGAGCATCTGGGCTTCCATCTCCAGGGTACTGAAAATGCTCTGCAGAAGAATTAGGGTAGGGAACCTCCCCGGTGGCCCAGTGGTTAGGAATCTGCCTTCCAATGCAAGGGATATAGATTTGAACCTTGGTCAGGAAATGAAGATCCCACATGCCACGGGGCAAGCGAGATGCCCCTGCTTGCTGCAACAAAGACCCAGTGCAGCCCCCCAAAAAAATAAAATTAAAAAAAAATATATATATATATATATAAAAAGAAATAGGATAATACTCCAGGGTTGACTACCTATATGTCAATGGCTTGAGATTTAGCTTCCATTTGTGATGGCCGGATGGCATCACCAACTCGAGGGACATGGGTTTGGGTAGACTCCGGGAGTTGGTGGTGGACAGGGAGGCCTGGTGTGCTGCGGTTCATGGGGTCGCAAAGAGTCGGACACGACTGAGCGACTGAACTGAACAGAACTGAACTGTCCAAATAAATACATGTGGCTAGAGAAAAATGGAGCTGTTTTAAGTTTGGCTGAGCCCTAGAGTGGGAAAATTCCAAGATCCACATAAAATGTGTTATTTCTGAGAGGCTGGCCACAGGCAAAGAGAGAAGCCTTCCCAAGGTGTTAGGAGGGGTGAAGGCAGGACAGCAGCTCCTACCTGCGACGGATCTGTGACTCGCAGGGTCACCACGTCCTCACTGGTGTACTTGATAAACAGGTGGTTTTCATCCAGAAGCTGCATCTTCCACATGCGCAGCTGCCGCAGCTGGTCAAAATACTGAAAGAAGCGCCTCTTGGCCATGGCACTTCCATCCTGCTCTGCCCGGCGCCACAGGTACACCAGCAGCCGGTGCTTCAGGGAGTTGATGAAGGGGTCCCTGAAAGGGTTGGCCATGCCTGTCTGGCTGTCCCGCTGCACCTCGGGGAACACGGCCGACACGGTGAGCAGGTCATCCTCGTAGCAGAAGCGGCCAATGGTCCTCACGTCGATGAAGGTGCCCTCGGGGGTCACCTGGAAGACGTGGATGGTCTGCTGCTGCACCGACAGGATGGCCAGGATGTTCTTATACAGGTACAGCCCCTGGTTGTGCGACAGGACCACCTTGTCGCACTTGAAGGTGCGCGTGTCACACAGGCGGCCGGTGTGGAGGTCAACGATGTGGAGGGAGTAGTCCTCTAGCGGGGACCGGGGGTTGGGGGTCACGGACTCGCTGTTCCGATACACCTCGTAGAAGGGCGGGTGAGGCTCGTCCGGCAGGTAGGCCGCTGAGCCCACGATGACGCAGCGGCAGTCGTCCGTGAAGAGGCTGCACTCCCGGTTCAGGTGCTCGCCGTTGGCTGCCACGTTGGTGATGTGCAGCAAGACAAAGAAGCGCTCGAAGAGCCGGCCGCGGATGTTGACTGACCGCTGGTCGTTGCCGTTGGCCAGGATCTCCCCCTCGTAGCCCTGCAGGAGGTCCTCGGCGGCCTGGCAGCCCTGGTACTCGTAGATTTCCAGAGACGTCTGGTCGGAAGAGAAAGCGATGAAGTAGCGTCCGTCGGGGGAGAACTTACGCAGGAAGCAAGGCGGCTTCTCCACGTTGACGACAGTGAAGTTGGGGAAGACGTTCTGGTGGAACACCCGGACTTGGTGCCAGTGGGTACCTGCCTTGCCCGAGCTGATCCGCCGGCGTTCCAGGCGGTGAATGACATTTTGGTTTTGGATTCTTCGAGGTCTGATGGTGGAAACATGATGATCCATTATCACATCTCTACGTGGAAAAGTAAAAAACAGAAGTCAAGAAAACAAAAATTTACCAAAACATAAATACAGATGACCTTTGCACAAGGAGGGGGTTAGGAGCACCAACCCCTTGCAGCTGAAAATTCGAGTATAACTTATAGTCGGCTCAGTATATGTGGTTCCTTCCTGTCCCCAGATCTTCCACATCCATGGATTCAAGCAATGTGTAGTACTGCAATATTTACTGTTGGAAAAAATGCACATGTATGGCGGAAGGAGACGGTGGGACGAATAGAGAAAGTAGCACTGACATACATACACTGCCGTGTGTAAAACAGACAGCTAGCAGGAGGCTGCCGTCCCACAGAGTTCCACCCGGTGCTCTGCGATGGTCTAGATGGGTGGGGTGGGAGTGGGGGTGGGAGAGAGGCTCAAGAGGAAGGGAATATATAAATAGTTATGGCTGGTTCACACTGTTATATGGCAGAAACCAACACAACATTGTAAAACAATCATCCTCCACTAAAGATTAAATAAAAATTATGAATGGCTTAAAAAAAAAAATCCATGTGTAAGCGAACCTGCACGGTTAAAATCTGTAGTGTTCAAGGATCAACTGTGTATACACAAGTCAAATACATTTCCTCCATATACCCTGGGCAGAGGAGCTCCCAAGATGACAGCGATTGGCATTCCTCCTTCCCAAGTTACAGTCAGTAAGTGGTCCAGATAGCTTTGAGTCTATCAAAACTCAATTTTTGAGGGAAGGACCGAATTCTCTAGGAAGACCTTCGAAGCATGCTCAGCTGTTGGGAATATTCAGAAGAACAAACCTTCAACTACATCAAATTTTCTCGGTGTAAACACCACATTCAGAGTGTAATTCATATAAAAAACACATTTACTGAGCTGTTAAGATGTCCATACTACCCAAAGAATCTACAAACTTAATGCAATTCTTATCAAGATTCTAAAATCATTTCTGGCAAAAATAGAAAAATTCATCCTAAAATGTACATACAACCTCAAGGGACCCTAAAACACAATTTTGTAAAAGAAAAAGTTAGAAGATTCAGACTTACTGATTTCAAAAAAGTGTGGTACTGACATAAGATAGAAAAATACACCGAATGAAGAGAATTAAGACCTGAGAAATAAACCCAAGGCTTCCATAGTGGCTCAGACAGTAAAGGGTCTGCCTGCAGTGCAGGAGACCCGGGTTTGATACCTGGCTTGGGAAGATCCCGTGGAGAAGGGAATGGCAATCCACTCCAGTATTCTTGCCTGGAAAATCCCATGGGCGGAGGAGCCTGGCTGGCCCCAAACCATGAGGTTGCAAAGAGTCGACATGACTGAGCAGCTAACACACACACACACATAAAACCAAGATTAGAAATTCAGAGAACACCAAACATGATAAACCCAAAGATTAATCCATGCCCAGACATATCAGAGTTAAACTGTGAAAAACTAAAGCATGAACTAAAAATCTTGAAAGCAACCACATAAATGACACATTACCCACAAGGGAACAACAATTCATATACCTGTGGATGTCTCATGAGAAACTACAGAGGCCAGAAAGAAGCAAAGCAACATTTTTAAAGTGCTGAACCGACTATCTGTCTGATCATTCAAATCTCAGCTAAATAGCAACTCTTCAGTTTTCCCCTGACCACCTTACCTAAAGTCATGCCTTTTTCCATCCACATCAATCTGCTGTTTTACCTTATTTAATTTTCTTCAGCCCTTATCACTTTCTGAAACCATTTGTTTACTTTTTTAGTATCTGTCTCCCCGCACTGGACAGCAAGCAGGGGCCTTGTCTAATTCCTTGCTGAATCTCCAGCACCTAGGACAGCGCCTGAAGCGCAGCAAGTGCTCACAAACAGAAATGAATGAATGGAACAACATTTGACAGAGGTCGTCCAGGATAAACAACACATTAGGTAAAATAAAGAAGGAACATTTCAGAAAGAAGATAGCTTAAAAAATACACTTAAAAAGAGTGTAGTGTGGTACACTTGGGAAACACAATTCCAAGTGATTAGAACACAGGAAACATGGTGATAAGAGAAACCTAAAAAAGCAGATTGGAGCCAGATGAGAAAATACACTGTGTGCCACGTCATGCAGGTTAGTACAGGTTTTAAGCAGAGGAGGGACTGAGTCAATCTGTACCTTAGCAATAAAAACATACAGACAATGGGAACTTGTTTACATTCTGCCCCCTGAGCTTTGAAGTGCCTGGGGTAAGTATATACACTATCAGTGCTGTGCTTAGTCGCTCAGTCGTAGCCAACCCTTTGCGACCCCATGGCCTGCAGCCCGCTAGGCTCCTTTGTCCGTGAGGATTCTCCAGGCAAGAATATTGGAGTGGACCGCCACGCCCACCTCCAGGGGATCTTCCCGACCCAGGGATCGAACCTATGTCTCCTGTATTGCCAGGCAGATTCTTTACCACTGAGCCACCAGGGAAGCCCAAGAATACTGGAGTGCATAGCCTATCCCTCCTTCAGGGGATCTTCCCAACCCAGGAATTGAACCAGGGTCTCCTGCACTGCAAGCGGATTCTTTACCAGCTGAGTTAGTCAAGTTAAAAATGTCCATACTTGTATGACTAAACAAATCAAGTTTCTCAAACTACTAGTCACAATTCATTGATATAGCAAAAGACTGCAAACCACTGCTTTCAGGGCAAATCTAGCTTGCCTGTTTATTTTTATAAATTTTTATCAAAGCACAGTCATACCCACTTATTCACAAGTCGCCTATGGCTGCTTTTGCTTTACAAAGGCGTAGTTGATTTGTTAAGACCAAAGACCACACAGCCCACGAGCTTAAAATCCTGACCTAGAGAAATGTCTGCATGTAGATAACAGGAGACATATACAAGCATGTCTGCAGCAGGACTGTTGGCAACAACAAAATCTTGACAATACTCCAAATGTCCATCAAAGTAGACTAGTTTAAAAAAAACAAAAGTAGACTAGCTAAATTCATCCAGGCACATTCATGCAGGGGAACCTTTTTGTTTTATTTATTTTTGGCTGCACCATGAGACTTGTGGGATCTTAGTTCCCTGACCAGGGATTGAACACAGGCCCCAGCAGTGAAAGCACCAAGTTCTAACCACTACACTGCCTGGCAATTCCCCCATGCAAGCAATGAATTAATGCACCACAGTCATATATAACAATATAGACGAATCTCAGACACAGTGTTGAATGAAAAACGCAAGTTACAGAATACATACAGTGTGATTTCCTTTATACAAGCTTCAAACAATTTCTAGTTTAAGAACACAAACACATATGGCATATAATTAGAAACAGTAAAGGAATTACAAACATAAGATTCAAAAGTGGTTACCTTTGATGAAGTTTAAGAAATGGGATAGGAGTTAGGGACACCCTGGCGGCACTCTGAAGTGTGTATTTTTTTTTTTCTTGAATTAGCGTTCATTGTACTGTTACTCTTTTAAAATTACATGTGTTTTTTAAAGTAATATTTGTGCTTACTCAGAATTTTTCTTAATTAGAAAACAATCGTTGTGAAGGGAAAACAGAGGTAGGACAATAACATGAAGCCTGAAGGACACAAAAATGCAGCCCATGAGAGCCTGCAGAACTGCCAACTTGGCTCTGACTTTCTCAGCAGACAAGGCACAGGAAAACACAGTTATAAACTCTACACTGCCAATAAGACAGAAACTTAATAGCTGCTTGGAAGAAGCACAGAAATTCCCAGCACTGAATTAAAAAAAAAAATCTCTCTCATGAGTTTTCTAAAAGGATTTTGGCATGATTCAGTAAGCAATATCCTCCACTTCTGAGCAAAAATAAACCATATTGAGCTTCACACAGCTACTCCTTTTCACCGTGACACAGTTCACCTGCACATTTTGATACAGTATGTTCCAAAAAACATACTGGTAAGGTTTAAGCATTTTTAAATACCAAGTAATGTACAAAACTACCTCACTCACTCCCTGTCCAGGACATCTTTGCCACTTGCATCCTTCGAACCCAAGATGGGGACTGGAATCAGACAGACCAGCAGGGGATGAAAGCCAAGTACGGCCCACGAATGGAAGAAGGAATAGGCATTTGACACCGTCTAGCAGACTAACTGGCTTCCCTGTTTGCTCAAAGGTAAAGAATCCATCTGCAGTGCAGCAGACACGGGAGACCTGGGTTCAATCCCTGGGTCAGGAAGATCCCCTGGAGGAGGGCATGGCAACCCACTCCAGTATTCTTGCCTAGAGAATCCCAAAGACAGAAGAGCCTGGTAGGCTACAGTCCATACGGTTGCAGAGTTGGACACAACTGAAGTGACTGAGCATGCACAGCAGACTAACCACAAATAACTGAATCAGATAAAGCATACTAGTTGTTTGACTTACAGTCACAGATCATGTTAAGCAAACTAGATGCTTAATTCTTAAAAAAAAAAAAAAGTATATATTTTGAATAGTCCCACCTTAAATTCTGACTTGTCTTTTTAAGGGAAGAGCCACCAGTACTGTGATGGGGGAAGAGGGGTGGGGTGGGTGGAGGTCAAGGCCTGCTGGCTTCAGCCCCAAGTTGTACAGAAAACCCTCACTTAATTTCCTAACCCTCTCTCAGTATGCTCTCTACCTGCTCCGTATTTTATATTGCACAAGGACAGTTTTTAGAGATGGTGGAATTTGGTCTTTTTCAACCTGTCTTGTTATTCCAGTTATAAAATACACACTCATCAAAACTCAGACAATATAAAAAAAGTACATAATGAAAGTCCCTTCCAGTCAGAGTAGGAGTTACGAAAAACGTTAGAATGACTTATGATATTTTTTCCAAAAGCTGACCCTCTACCCTTCCCTTACTCTAGTTAATGGCACAGCCACTCACTCACCTGCTGCCAAAGGAACCGGAAACCTAAGAGTCTCCCTTGGGACCTCTTTCCCTCGGCCGCCATACCTGGTCAATCAGTCCCCGAACTCTGAAGCTTTTACCTCCTAAACTGTCCTCTAATGC